CATGGCTTCAGCAAGCCGAGTCGAGCTCGCATCACGTCACACACATCAAGCGGTGATTCGAGAAGAGATCTAGAGACAGCGTAATCACAAACTCACTTGCTGGTGGAGACGTGCTTGAGCCTGACGGACTCGTCTCGTGCCCAGGTTTCGCTGCCCTTGTGAACGCACGTAACCTCCCACGAGTCTCCGGCATCCCCCTCGCCACTGTCTCCGAACGCACTGACCTGAAGCGGCCACGGACGTACGAGAGAGAAAAAAGGCAGATCGGAACAAAACGTCATGTATTGAGAGACGCAGCGTCAGTCCCTCGTAATCGAGAATCGCGTGGTGGAACAGAGTAGTCCTTCGATGAACGTCCAGTTCTTGAAGAAAGCTAAGTGGAATTTTGATCCTTGCTCCGTAGTGCTGAGCTCACCCAGCATCCGTATCTCGTGCACCATTTGTGGGTACATACTCTTCGAGAAACATTTCTGCTTTTATGTTTTCAAGAAGCCCCATTTATTGCCACCCCTTCGCGTAATCTACCACGACTGTGTCGCCGTTGTTGCAAAGGACAATTGCACGATGGCGGGGTGATCTCCTCTACCGAGGGAACACAACCCGTGGTCAAGCAGAGCGCACGTCTCGTCAATGACGTAACAACACAAGCAGCCAACGAATCGCGCAAAAAAAAAGACAAGAACCTTGGGTTGGGGCTGCAAAACAGCGCTAGACTAAGGCGATCGAGCGCAACGGATTCGAAAGTCGAGGTTATGAACGCCGCACGGGAGATTTTGAAGTGTTTCTTGTGAGGCCTCGTGTGGCTGACTTTCGTACATCGGCTGGTGTCGACTTCATTCATGTCTTCCTGTCGGGAATTCTTGCCCGCAAAAACAAAGCCATGACTCCTGTGTGGCCTTCCTCCCGTGTGACCCCGGTTGGTGCGTCCAGACATTTTACCGAAATGTGCAAAAAATACTGACCCCAGAATAAATGGGATGACCAAAAAAAAAGCGAGAGATCTACAACAACAAATAACAACTCTCACCTCCTGGCCACGCGTTAGCGGAGACTTGAAGTTGTGAGAGTGCAGGTTCCTCCCGGTGGAGACGTGCTCTAGCCGCACCACGCTGCCGCACGCAACGGGCTGTCCCACCTCGCACGGCAGCGCTCCGTCGCCCTCCTTAACCTTTGACGACAACAAAAACATTTGACGCGCCACGTGCACACACGAGGTGGAGTTGGGCGTTAAGGGGTCGTGACGTCGTCATCGCTTACACACAAGAGGTACGCAGCGCACCAGCCCAAGAGGGGGCAGGGGGGGTGGTTCGACTAATTGACCCCGGAAGCAACACACCAGAAGCAAGAAACATCTCCCACCGAAGGCCAGTGCAACATATCATACGGCCATCACCCCTCCATCCATCCGAGAAAAAGGTGCGCCGTTGCTCTCGACTCCCACGAGAAGACCCCACCTTAAAGCCCTAACCACGACGGATGACAAAAAATCACACAAAGTCGTCAAACAAGCAACGTGACAGCAGTAAAAGACACGGGTCGCTCTATCTACAACCCACACAATTACTATACATCATCCTCGAATTCTCACGGGCGGCTGACCATACTCAACCTACGAGGAGCTACCGACATCTCCGTAGACATCAACGATCTCCGTAGACACCAACGATCTCCGTACACGTCAACGACACGGTCGTTCGACTTGAGGCGAAACGCACGTTTTCCTACAAGCTCTAGTTCGTGAATACAATTTGAGGGAAGACAATGGTGCACTCTTTCTCTCGTCAAAAATTGAAGGCAAACACAGCAGGAGGGGTGAGTGTAGGGCGCCTCAGGAGGAGGAACCCTTCTGTGCGACTACGGATCGGAGCTCCTACGCAGCAGAAAATGCTGCGTGTGCCAGCGCTGATGTTAAATGACGATGGCACACATACAAGAGAAAAAGTTTCTCACGATCCACATGGAGCCCTGGTCGTCCTCGCCGCCGTGCCCCGTCACGCTCTGCTGCCCGCTACCGCCGCCCCACTTGATGACGTGCGAGTGCAGGTGGAAGCGGGTCGTGTCGTGCCTGAGCTTGATCACGCTTCCGCACGTCACCAACACTGAGGTGGTCGGCGGTCGCGGCGGTTGTTTCCAAAACACGTCGCCGTCGTCGTTGTCGGAGCATACACAAGAACCGTGTATGGATCATACGGTGCGCGGGAGGGAGGGGGGGGGGGTACATCGATCACTAGGAACAAAACGTTATTTCTCCTGTTGCGGGGTGGCGATCGTGGATTGGTCGGGAGCTCGCCCCGCATGATGTACCTACTTTTCGCGGGCGAATGCTGCCCCAAAGCACCCCACACCCACACCAAAACACGGGCGTCTACACGCAGAAACCCAGAAACTCATGGGGGGGCTTTTCAGTTTCATGGTTGGTTGCCGCACCAAACGCCATTTCACCTTCACCGCGAGAAAGCACCCGCTGCATGTAGACTACGGCAGAAAACGACGCTAGTGCCACACACCCGCCGAAAACTTTGGGGGTGTTGTCCAATCACGAGAGTGGTGTCCAGCAGGGAAAAAGGGCGGCCTTTCCATACATGCCATGCAGCTAGCCCACTTTGCTGTGTAACGCTGGTGTAGTCTAGTGGTGACCATGGTCGGTGGTTGGGACCTTGAGGAAATTACCGTTCCCGTCGGTGTAACAGCAGACGTTACCTACCCAACATGCGCAGGGACGTTACAAGTTGAACTTCGCACACCCATTTCCTACACGTCGAGTATGTACGTACCCGGCTGGCTATCTCGTTTTTGATACTACTGCTGTCGGTGTTGTGCGGATTTTGTCCATCGCATCATAGTTCGGAGCTGGGAAGCAAGAGCTGTCCGTTAGTGTTGACTACGAAATGACATCCGAATCTTTGGTGGAGGGGTCGACAAAATGGTGCGGGTCACCGGGGGCCGGGGGGCGGAAGGGGGGGTACATTAGTGCGGAACGCCCGCGCTAACCCATCACGAGCTGAACGCAGTGAGTGTGGTGTTGCTCAAGACCGGAAAGAGACGCCAGTCTGCCAAGATTCCCACGCATCCGGTGTAGTATCTATAGTCCGTCTCTCGTCAAACTGCTGTTAGCAACATTCCTCCAACCGCAAACGCAGGGACAATATTTCGTGTGTGTGGACCACCAAGCCTGTCGTGAGGGTGGGGCCTGCAATGTCTGTACAGCTGTACGGGAGAAACGACTGCTGCTTGTGGGTCAAATTGTGTGCCGCTACTCTAGACTTAAAGACTACACTGCTGTAGGCACACTGCTGTACAAAATGTACGCAGGGACTATTTGCTATTGATTTATCCCCCGTCATGGTTGTCTTCATGAGGGCTACCCATGGACCACAACTACAAGGCCTGCCTATGGCGGCTTGGAAACTAGGGGTAAATCAACCGCGTACAACGTGAAATCCATCCAGGTGTGTGCAGTGATCGCGCCCTATAGCTCCCCGAGATACACACTCCTCCATTCGACCTGCAACAATGGGACGGGCGGGCGCCGGGTGTGGTATCTGAAGACCCGCAGGTTCTACTTTTACGTCGCAAAGAGAGGCCATCCACCCACCTTCACCGGCCCCAACGGAGCACGCGGCAGCGAGGAGAAGCAGCGCCGCCACCCCGGGTACTCTCTCCCCTAGCTTCATTGTCGTCGATGGCCGAACAACAAGACACCCACGGGGAGGATCCTTCTCGCTCTACACCGAACACTAGCGGAGTTCCTCCGCTTTGCAAGAAACACTTTGTTGGCGGAGGTTTGCTAGCCCTCGGCGGCACAATCCCTACCAGCTACGCTTTCCCGTGGGTAGATATCTCAGTCAGGCTGTGCGGCGCGCAGTCTAGGTGCGGTAGGAACGCGAGGTGCGTGCTGGGGGGCTTCAGAGAACTTCGCTGGGATGGACCGGCGACTGTGCTTTGCTTCACAGGGGATGGGGGACGAGAATCCCCCCGGCCCCTCAGGTAAAAACGCCTCCTGAGTCCTTGCTGTGAACGGTTTGGTGATGAGTGATGAGGCTCGTCCATCTCTTAGAGTCAGCAGCAGCAGTGACTTTTCTTCTGAGCTTCTTCATGTGAGTACGACGAACCATTCGGGCCCTCCGCAGCAGAGGGCGCGCACGCGTTGTTTTCATTCGCTGTGGGACCAATGCTGTGTTCGACTGAGACATGATGTTGGTCTTCTTTTTTCCCCCGTGGTGACGGGTTGTGCGTTCAAAAATGTTCGAGGGCGGTGGTGCGGTGGTGGATTTTCTTCTGGAAAGAGAGAGCGCGGAAAAACGACCCGCATTTTTTTTACGGTCTCCATTGTAACAGCAGCAGCACACAGCAGCGCCAGCCGTGTTACCGACACCCACCAGGTATCGATTCATCACTCTGCTGGACGTCGACGCCGACCCGTTTTCGTGGTGAAGAATGTCCATGGTGGACAGTGATATTCGGTGCATTGCCAAGGAGCAGTAGGCAGCAACTTGCAGTACGGTATGACCTGTGGGGCTACGAAACGTTCGAGGCTTGACCGCTCGCCTCCTCTCCATGTCTCACCGACGCACCGACGCGTGTTGTGGCTTCTTGGCTTAACGCGTGTATTATTCGGCCTGTGTGACTGACTCACACGCGCCCGGCAGAATTCGGACATCATAAAATGGAGCGCGAAGCGTCGGCTGAGGTTGGGATGAAGAGGAAGCGCCCGTGGAACCTGGTCCGTCAAGGTGAGAGCCATGAGGGACAACAAATCGGGCGCGCACGGTGTTGTACATAGAAAGCTGATTTGGTATGCCAGTCTTACGCCTTCAATAGCGCTGGAGAGAGGGATCGAGATCGAACAACACCGGTTCGTATGCTTTGAAGCAAGATGCCGCCCCCCCCCCCGCCCCCCCCGCCCCCGGGGCAAACGCTTTCAGGAATAATGTGGACAGTTTGGCGTGTTGTCAGGCTCGTACAACAGGTCGGCGTATATATCGGTGCCCCAAGAAGCAAATGGTTCTTCGGAGATATATTTGAAATTGTGCTGGTTTTGCCGCCCGCGGTGCAACGTCATTTGTTGTTTAATCCTCTTTGTCACTTGGTCATCGGCTCCGGCCCACCGTTGAAGCTCATACGCTTGCAACTCTCTTCTTACTCTGTACGGTGTTGCCGTTCCAAAGTGAAAGAATCGCTCAGCGATGCGTCCCTTCGATTTTATTGCGCGAAAGATTTGCGGAGCTCCTTTGCGTGTATTTGTATTCACAGACGAGCGCGTCGCAGCAGCTAGACTAGTGGGATATCCACGTCTGGGAGACGGTAAAACGTTCTGGTATTTAGATCTACAGAAATACCTAGTGCGGAGGATATACTCTTCGATGGTACTCTGATAGCAGTCTCTGCACGGCTGATTCCTTTCAACCGTTGAGCTAGAACACCGGGGCAAGCAGCTTCCATATACATCGTGAATGCGCAGAGATAGGGATGCTATCCACCAACGGGGGAAAGCATTTTTTTTTTTTCGTGCATGTGTTTTTCGCGAGGCACCACTGCGCTCAGCTCACTGCGCTGGGAAACGCAATGTATTGTCCACTAGTTCTGCGCAGCAGAAATTAACATGATGGAAAGAAGCAGGATGGGACGTGTTGTTTTGAAGTTGGTTGAATTGTTACGACTTCGCCGCCGCTGCTGTTTGTGACCTATGTGGGCGCATAATTAATGGTTGAAGGACTGCTGTAACAATAATAATAGACGTCATTGAGGTCTTGGACTGCTGTCAAAGCTTATTCGTCGTGAAACCCTTCGTTTTCTCGCGCATGTATTTCGGTTTTGCGGGGATTTGAGTGTATGTACCTATACCTCTTGACCAATAGCGCCTTGCTCGCAGCTTGTTGTCGGGGCACTAAGAGTAGACAATACAGCAGTAGGTGAATTGCCGCCGTTGTGCTCTCTGCCCAGGAGCAAGAGCGCCCCTCACTATTAACTCGCCATTAATATTAATTAGAACGGGTAGTCTTTTCTTTGGTTGTATTTATTTTTCCTAATAATAGTTTAACTTTTTTCAAGAAGACGAGACAGGTAGTACTTCGCAATGCATGGTGCGTTTGGGTGTTCTGCTGCATCACTGCTGTTTTTTTGCTCAACGATATGTAGCAGCTGTTTGGTGTGCCGTTGAATCGCGCGCGTACCCCCGCCTGAAGAAGCAAAGATGCGCGCTTCACCTGGGCTGCTGCCTTTTCCTTCAACCCACACCATGGTTTTCGTGTCTTTTCTGTTCCTCACCAGAACACAAGGCGTACTTCGCTGTGCTGGCGGTGCTGTTCCAGCCGACGGCCTGCCAGGAGGCATCTCCGGAGATGCTTGACGCGCGACGAGATATCCTGAAACGCCTCAAGAAGGAGCTGCACATCCCAGACTCGGTATCGGATGCCGTTCACGGGTGAGAAAAAGAGAACGTCCGTTTCACTGCTGTTGCATGGAGTATGTTCTTGGGACGGTCCGATAAATTGCCGTTTGTGTACCGTTACGAATCCCCCCATGCATGTACGCGCGGTGTGTGGGCTTTTGGTCGTTTGTTTGTCTCTCCAAAAATTATTTTCCTGAGTTTTCTTACATACATCGACTGCTACCTTTCTTGCTGTGACTGAGTGTCCATGTGTGCCCCCCCCCTTTTTGTGTGTTTTTTCACGATTTCATGGCGTTCAGCTAGAAAGTGGCGGTGTGGTGTTGGCTACATCGGCCAAATATAGTCAATTCAGTGTGGGCGGGAAAACGAGAACCAAAACCCTTTCCAGCGGATGTGAGGGCGAGACGTTGCCTCACAGGAGACGCACAGGTCAAGCTAATAGACGGAATGATCCAACCAGCCTGCTGTTTGTTATGCTTTGTGTGTGCGTGTGTTCGCGTGTAACGTGTACTGTGTCTATTGTTTTTTGCTGCTTCCAGGGCGCTTAAGTCCGACAAGCCCCTGCAATGGCAGAGATCTCTAGTCGCGCTTCAGGGCAAGGTGAAGGCAAAGCTGCCCGAGCACGCTCCGCTCATGTTAGGTGAGAGCAGCTGTAAGAAGGGAAACAAGTTGTTTGGGTTATATCGATGGTCTCTTGGACCGAGAACCCCCGAGGATCACGTTGCCAGGTGTCTTTCTAGATTAGACTATTAATGGTAGGTGTTTCGTGCGAGGAAGGTTTCGGTTGGTTTGTTCAAGTGTTCACCCACCTGCCACATAGCAAGGCCTGCAATGGATGCGCGAGGATGTCGAACGCCAAAGGCTGCCATTTTCGGCGTGGCAGTTGGTGTGCTCTGTTCGGTAAATCGTAATGTATATGCTCTGTTTTGTGTTGAGGCGGACATGTGGGCTCACCGAGGGTCAAGGTCCTTAGAATTTTGCGTTCGAGACACTGGTGTTAGTCGCAGCATTGTCGACATAGCCGTCCTGTAGTGTACAGCATCTTTCCAAGGTCTTCAAAATATTCAAGACGAGCCAGAGCTACGACGCGGATAGCAGTGCGGTGGTTTCCTTCCGCTATCCCAGCCTTGTGTCGGTGTCGGTGGCGATGGTTCTTCATCCCAGTGCCAATATCGTTTTCGTGATTTTGCAGGAAACTTGGAGCTCTGTGTGGGTGCAGACGTGGACGTCAAAGATTTCCAGAAGAACTGGCTGCCGGGCAAGATCAACGGTCTTCAGGGCTCTTCGGCAAGAAAAGGGTGCCTTTTCTAGCATCCGCCACCTTTTCTCACTGTTTGCTGTGTTCCACTTTTTTCTCCTGTCTCGGGTTGTGGCCTTCTCAATTCGCTATTTTCAGTTGCTCGCGACTAGCGTTTTCTCGTTATCTTTTGGCCTTAGTGTGTTGGTCGTCGTCGGATTACCTTCCCTCGATATTGTACCTGTCTGCAACTTCCCTTCTTCGTATTCACAGTTTCCCAATGTGTCACGATCCTTGCCGTCGCCTGAAATGTTTTTGAAAACAAACAGCTTTGCATCCACTACCACGGGTGGGCCAACAAGTGGGACGAGTGGGTCGACGTTTCGCACGGCCGCGTTGCCCCCAGGGAGACGTACACCTCGAAGGCGGCGTGGGGCAGGCGTAAGCACAACGGGAAGCAGCGGCTCTGACTCTCTCTCGTTTTTTGGCCAGTGCCAGCTGCCACGGACTACACCGTGAGGTTGACAGAAGATACCACGTCCCTTGGACCGATTATTGTTGCTCGATTACTCTGCAGCAGAAACAGCGACTGTGCCGAAAGTGGCGTCTTGGCGAATGTCTCTTCGAGAGCATTCCGACAACCCATTATTTAGGTTTGACACATTTTATTGTGTTGAGTATTCGAGCTTTGTAGAATCGGTCCAGAGGGCGTGTGGTATCTTTTGGACCCTGCGGTTTCACACCGCCAAAGAGAAGGGGAGTCGATTGGTTCCAATACGTCAAACGGAACGATTGAGGGAGAACCCTGAGGACCTATTGATTAGATTGATTCGTGGAACCTCGTCACTCGGGGTGCGAAAGAGGCAGGGGCGGAGCAACTTCCGCTGTGTTTCTGTCTTGCGCTTGGGTTGTGGTGGTACCGCGTGAGTGCAGGCCCGAGGTGGACCGTCCACCACAACAGCGGGTCGAATTCATCGCTTTGCCGTCCCACGACACAGGCATGGAGTCGCTTATGTACCGCCCGGATTTTTTCAAGACGCACTACTCTAGTGGCATGGAGTCGGTTTGGAATCTCCCGAATGTGACATTTTGGTATCTCCCGAATGTGACATTTTCAACAGGTAGGCGTACGTACGATGCGGGGCGACGTTTGTTTCTTGTGTCGTGTTAGTAGACGGAGGTGCGGACCCGCGGGTAAGCTGGTGGGGAATGGACGGTTGGGGAGAACTCAAAAACGAAACTTTCACCCTGTGAAGTCGGCGTGACGTTTGGTTTCTGTTCGTCATATTTTTGTCGATTGTCAACTGGAGCAGTTTTTTTTCCGTGTTCCTCGTGTTGGCCTTTTTATCATGTAGAACAGGAGCTCCATAACCTTTTTTTGGTTGCATGCCTCGCCACTGGAACAAGGTGTTGCAACGGGTTGTTCTCGAGATGAAGAGACATCTATCACGGAGGTAGAAAACATGCAGGGATACGCCGTCATGAAACGTCGGCCTGCGACGCGGGGGTGCACGCAGAATGTGTGGCGGTGCGTTGGAGGTGATGAAAGTTGGCGGAGAGTGGCTTGATTGTACCCGAGAGGGAAAGCGGGTGGCTAGATCCCAGCAATAGGCGCCGTTGTTGGATTGTCATCGTTGTCAATAGTGTAGGGCACCTGTCGAAGGCGAGCCGGAGCAAGATGAGAGGGTGCGGCGAGAACGTCATATCTCACTTCAGCACAAGCCTGGATGGGTCTGGTTTCGTGTATGGCGCACGCGACGGGCTTGGAGGTCTCGTTTTTGCCGGCATACCCTTTCCTCGAGTTCATGACGAGACAGGAATAGCAGTATCCTTGATTTCTGCAGGCGTTGATATGCCGGGAGCTTGCAAACCTCGCGACTGCGACCAGCTCCCTGCCCCTGCTCTTAATCGTGGTTTTGTCTTGGGTTGGATTTTCCGGGGGGTGTCGGTGTTGGCGATAGCGTTGTGGAGGTAAGGCGTCGGGCGAAGGGTGTGTGTGGTACAGTACTCCTGTACGTGTAACGAAGAGTGCTCTCGAGTGGTGAAGCAGCCGTTGTGAAGTGACTCTTATCTTCGAGCACATCTAGTCTAAAGGGCTATTTTTCCCTTTGTCAGGTGTTCAAAAACGCCGCCATCGCGAGGTGCCAATAAAGCAGCCAAGTAAGGGTGTCTGGTCATCTATATCAAGAAAGACCGAAGCTGCTCAATCATTGGCGTACCCGGCAGTCAGTGCTCAGAGCGGGGTGCGAAGCCAAACCCTTCATCGGAGCCAAGACGATTTGCACCCACACGGTACAATATCCCGTAGGAGATTATTCCGCCGCAAAAAATTACACGGGACAGCAGTCGAGATAGCACTAGAAACAAACAACTTTCCACCGATCACACGAGCGGTGGGAAGCTTGGACAACGACCCAAACATACATTCCGCAAGCCACTCGGACAGACAGATCTTGTGGGACAAAGGTTGAATCGACAAACAAGTCAACACCGATCCCACCTACTACTGTAGGAAATACTATTTACTGCCGCTTCGCAATAGAACGCTTCGTCTAATACCGTTCGCACTTGTTCACAGCAGTACCCGAACGACGCGAGTATGACCAGAATCGTTTCTGCGTGCATGTCCAAAACACCAACACACCGCGTGTTCCTCCGCAGCACGAGTCCAAGGACAGATCCCTCCGTTAGTTGCGCCGGAAGGGGACAGGCGGGTGGTGTACTGCGTCAGGAGAAATCTGGAGATACATCTCCACCATTTTCGTGATTTTCGTCTCACGCAATAGCTGCGACGCGTGGGAACAAAGTACCATGCCCCTTCCTCCACAACATCTACAACAACAACTTCCGAAGCTCCCAGCAGGCAGGGAACATAAAAACACGCCATTGTACACAAATACGTGTCCTCTCCCGCCTACGGCAGTAGTATAACACGTGCAACCCCGGCTCGTCGTCAAAAAGCTACCAACGTACGTCTGGTCCTGGATCAGTCGTCTTTGACGTGATTGCTGGTGCTGGTGCTGGTGCTGCTACTACTACTACCACCGCCTGTTGCAAGCCACTTGGACCGTATCACCAACGCCCACGCCAGGCATGGGAGGAACGGCGCGAAGACTACCCAGGATCCCTCCACCGCTTCCACGTGCAAGAACTGTTGGCGTCGTCGTCGTCGTCGTCGTCGTCGTTGGCGTTTTCACGAGGTTTTCCCGCGGGTTGATTACGGGATTGATTCGGGGAGACCATCATGCGGTTTCCATTGTGTTAGGAGAAGGAAACGAAAAGCGCGCGCCGAGAAATTACAACACACGGCAAATGACCGATGGTGATAGTCAGGGTCCCAAGCGTAGCGTCACGAATAAACACGCTTGTGCGTGAGGAAGGGGGCAGGTCATAGACTGCAACTCTGGAGGTTGCAAACAGAGAGTTTCCTTGTAGAACATCATAACTTGGAAGTATTTCGACAAAGGGCTAAGCACCTCATTTTGGGCGCAAACAATACAAGAACCACACCAAAAAGAAACCGGCGAAACCGGATCGACGCAACCTCCCAAAAGACATGCGAACCTGTGGTAGGGGTAGCAGCAAGCAGCAAGGAGGGGTGCTCTACAGAGTGTAAAGCACAGCCCCACTTTGCATGTGTACTTCCCTCGTCTCCCCCAGTGTGTGGATTTCATCTGGTTGGTATGCCGGATGTGTTTCGGTGCAACCGGTCGTCATGCAAACTTGGGTTTGTGTGTTTTTATTATTAGTATCGACCGCGCTAACCGGCTGACCAATGAAAAGACGTTAGTCTCAGTGCGGTTGAAAACACCAAAAACTTCTAAATGCCATTAATCCCGTGAGGGGGCGGCATGGGGGAGACTAATCTTTTCACCGGATCAAAGACAGGAACGGTACACAACAGAAGAATACTGCACACGTTTACGAAGGCTGCTACCTTGCACTCGAGTTCGTTTTGGAGTGATTTCACCATCATCCTCCTTGCTTTCAACTCGGGTGTGTGTGAGAGAGAGAGAGAGAGAGAGAGAGTAGTCTTGCGGACAACCATGTTTTGCAGCAGTGCAGGAGCGGCAATCCTGCGTACCCTGCTTGCTGCGCGGAACCGAAGGAAGCTGCTGCTACAGATGTCTACACTGCTGTAACGACATCAGCAGGGTGTGACAGACCCAAATTAGTAGACGTGTCGCTGGTTTTATCGCCCAAAGCAAGAGGTTAGCCTCCACCATAACTCAGTACTGCTGTGCTCAAGGTTCTACACTGCTGTGGTCGTTGTGTCTCGGCGTCTCTGTACACTACCAATTACCAATATTACAGCTGTGGTACTCGGTCTTCCCCACGCACCTTATCCAATGCCAAGAGGACGACCAGTATCAACGAACACACAAGGTAAGAGCCAGCCACAAAGTTGTAGTTGATCCCAGGGGAAGGTGTCATGAAAGGGAGCGCCATTGCGGTGGCGGGATGCGTCCGCCGGGTGTGCGATAGCACCATTACCCTGCTCCCTGCACCAGCTCCGGTGAAGAAAATGCGGCGCAATTAGAAACGTCCGGTTGTCTCAGGGACGAGGCGTACGACAGGAGGGGAGAAAACTGATTGGATGTTGTCTCTTTCGAGTGTTTATCGTTTGTCATGGTCAGTCCTGCGGGCGGGCGTGTTTGCTGTGCACTGAAGAGAGGGCAGCCGTAAATATTACACTGCCCTTGTACCTCTGGCTGTGCCGATGGAACCATCGTTTCGTCTATGCATACAATATCATACCGAAAGACCATAGTCTATGGGACCAACCACGAAAGATATCGGCATGATTCTTGACGGTGCTGCTGGAGGCATTGACGAGGGGTCTGGGCGGCTCCACTTGGATATGGCGCAAGAGGACCTCGAGGAGGAGCTACGAACCCAACCGCTCCTCGACTCCGTGCGAAGTAGGTTACTTGTTCCGTTCTTCTTGTTACCCAAGGAGAAAGCGCACGGAACGATGATAAATGCCTGGTAGCCGTCGTTTGCCCCACAACAATGGATGGATCTCGTTCTGCTAACGGGCAGAATGCTAACGGGCAGAATGGTCGTAAAACAGCAGTGATATTGCTTCGAGTAGTTGTCTTCAGCGCGATCAGAACCCGAAGCTCAAGCGTGGAGCGAATGGCACCACCAGTTCAACGACAACAGATGATCATATTGTCGGTCGTTCTGTACCATGTGTGCCAACAACACTTTGATACGCTTGCCTCTCCTTTCGCTTGAAGGCTTGGTCAACAAGGAGAGGCAACTCGCGGGTCTACAGCTGGAAGAAAAAGAACGGGAAGCAGAGCTGTGGAGGGACAGGTTTAGGCAACTTCAGGCGAGCCCTTACTTCTTTCACGTTTGGGACAAATGGAATGTACAGTAGTTCTCGCGTTCAACAGAACAGTGGTGATTGGGTAACATCGCCCGATTCTCCAAAAAATATTACCGTCGATGTATCCCCAGCCTGTGGCCTGAGTTTTTACGTTGCCTTCCATGGAATCTTGATTGTGCCAAATTGTGCGACTATTTATAAAGCACTTGAGCATAACGTTACCCCGCCAAATTCATGAGGGCGGGTGATGATCATGTCCCTTCTCCATCAGATCGAATCGGGCGGCATTGATTCTGCTGCGCGTGAAGCCGGCGAGACTATCGCCACGGAAAGTTGGCATCGCGACGAGGAAGATAGTGACTGGTGAGATGACCAAATCAATCCAAAACACATCTAGCGCAAAGCATTCAAAGGTAATAGCGCGTTGATAAAGCACGTTAGACACGGCTGCATGGCGACTTCAATAGTGGCGTGAAAAAGAACGCACTGAACGCTTCTTTTTCATCATCGACCATAAATCGACGAAATACCACAAGCAGATCCAAGAGAACGAGTCAATTTTTTCACAACACCAACGGTCTGACAACACGAACTCCGTTCGTCAACGGTGCTGGCAGGGACAACTTGCAGGCGGCCAGCAAGAAGGCAGGTGACCGCTATCTCGGAAAGCTGAGGAGACAAGAGAGCCTGGATCTTTCCCGGCGCGGTATTGGAAAAGAAGACCTGGAAGGTAAGGTCCGTAGACAATACAGCAGATATCGAGAGTTATCAAACTCTGGGCTTGCTGCCGAACATCTGAAGTCGCTGCCGACGTCGTCGTCCGTTGGTCGATTGCCGTGCTGACCAAAAGCTTGAGATCATTTTGCTCCTCACTCACACCTGTGTCGAACCTTGCCAAAAAACCTGCTTTGCCTAATTTTCCCTTCCGTGCCGTGAACTGCCATGTTCCCGTGGTTTTCGTCTCGCCTGAAACACAACCGAAGGTATAGTAGTCAAACTACGATGGCTACGGGGATTTACATCGGTTGACCTCAGGGGCAACAACATTGACGACGCCTGCGTGCAGCCGTTAAAGAGTCTGATGGCGCTCAGACAGTTGTGCAGCCTCGACCTTAGGGGAAACCAACTCGGCCCCTCCTCAGGCAATGCGTTGCTCGAGTCGCTGTCAAGGTGTAGACGCTTACAGGTAAGCGCATTGCATGAGGTGGTCTGTATGGTTGTCGTCAGTGTTGGTTGGGGTTGTGTGCGTATCCTGGTCTGTTGCATACATTCCTCAACCGGCGATCCCTTGGTCACACCACCTTGCCGCCGAGCACTCGTACGGCGCGTCTTTTATCACCCCGGAAAACGCCCATCACACTCCCACGCTCTGCAAAGCTGCAAATTGGACCCTCGTGCTTTTCTACCGTTCGACAACAGCAAAATAAAGGGGATGGTCCGACCATTTTCCTTACCTCCGGTGCAATGCCCCGACAGGTTCTCCGGCTGGAAGCGAATGGACTATTCGCCCGAACGCCTGGGGCTGGAGCCCGCCTCGCGGCCGGGTTGAAAGCTGCCATCAAGGCCGGCGGCTGCAGACATCTGTGGAGCCTAAGCGTGACCCTCGATGACTTCGACGGGAACTTCTTCATGAACGCGCCGCGAAAGACGAAGGCCAAAACTGCGGGTGGTGGCCCGACAGCAACCGGGACAGGGCGCAGCACCAGAAAGGCCGCCGGACCACCCCCTGCCGCGGGCCCGATGCCTGCGGCTCATCCGATGAATGCTCTGGCCCTCGCGCGCGCGTTTCACCCCCGGGCGCCGGATGGCGGCGCAGGGGCCTTGTTGAATGAAGACGGGGAAAGTGAGGCAAATTCTCGCGGCGTTCGTGGCAATACCAAAAGGGGCTCCGCTCGTGTTGGGAGGGGGTCCATAACCTCGCTCGGACTGCCGTACGCGAGGCTGCACCCCCGCACCGTCGAGGAGCTTGCGGCACATGCAATTTCCTCGTTAACCCACTTGGATCTATCCTTTTGCTACATTGGGCCCGCAGGTGCGGTCGCCCTTGCGCGCGGGTTGGACGGTCATGACGGCGGCAGTAGCAGAGGTAGCGGCACCCACGGTCGGGGATCGCGCTCCCTCCGCTCCCTACAGCTGCCACACAACGCCGTCGGCGACACGGGAGCACATGCGCTCGGCCAAAGCCTATCGAGCAACCGCTGCCTCACATTCCTCTCGCTCGCGTCCAATGGCATCGGTCCCGCTGGCGCCCGTGCGCTGGCTGCCGCTGTCGGCTCTCGCGGCAACGACGGCGGTGGCAGCGTCCTAACGAGGCTAGACATGGGAGACAACCCTCTAGAGGGCGAAGCGGCAAGGCTCCTCGTCGCCGCTGCTACACGTCAAGCCCCCACCGACGGGCACGGCGGCAAGGACGGTGACGGTACTACACGTGGAGCGACGACGTTGCAGGTCTTAGGGCTTGACAGAGCCCTCGGGGCTGCTGTCGCCACGAGGGAAGCCGCCCGTCGCGCCGCTTCAGCCGCCGCAGCGTGTGAGGCAGCGACGACGACTACTCTGGTGGCCATTGGCAACGAGGTATCTGTGCAACCAGAGGATGCCATCGGCAATGGCGGACTTGTACAGGTGGGGACGCGTGTCAACACGATGGTATACAACTGATCGTCAGCTGCACGGGTCCAGGAAAAGTGGAAACTTGTTTTTGTTCCACCGTCCGCTTTCTGTTTCTTTCGTTAACACGTTCGGCAAGAACCACAATATTGTAATGTCCGGTTCTCACCCCGGCATGGTTCTTCCGTACGTATGTTTTGCTTGATGTGACTTGTTTAGGTATACCAGGTTCTGCTTGATTCCCGATTCGAAATGCCTGCTGATGAGATTTTCACTATCCGAGGCGGTGCTAAGGGGCGAGGTGCAACGCTTGACATCGAGTGGAGTTGTGCGACAGACTGGCTCGATCCGTGCTGGTGGCGAGTATCCCAAACAAGAAAGGGACAGCCTGAGTTATCGGTGAAAGAAGGAGTTGGCACGGAAGAGGGGTGGGTATCCGGACAGGCAAACCACGATGGCGGCGAGCTGAGAGACGGATACAGGTGCCAGAGGCTAGGGGCACCAAGTACGCAAGAATCAAGTACACGGCGTTTGAACAGGGTAGGGGAAGCCTGTTGCGTTATCAAACATTTGAACATGCAGAACAAAATGGTCTGCCACGAGCCTAGGGCAGTGCATCCCAACCGCGAGGCCGATCCTTACTCATCTTAACTGTAGCGAACATGAAGAGTCAGCTTTGGCCTGAAGTTACTCAATTCAGTAGCGGTTTCGAGATGCTTTCATGCAAGTGGTGCATGTGCGTAACGGATATCTCGCTTTCGAGGGAAGCGGAACAAGCATCCGCGTAACGTATGCCCTTGCCGTTCTGCGGAACAATACTGCTTGCGGCGCCTGTCACAGCCGCGTCCGATTTCGATGCAACGGGTGGAGAAAACACGACATTCTCAAGGTTTTCGTCCGGCCTCCGACTGGCAGCGGCGGTGGGCGCGTGAGGTGCTGTGATCTCGCCGTTGGCTTGGCGGACGGAATACCGCCATTGCTTTCGTCGGTACACTACGGCTTGTTGTGGGCCGATTCGGAGAGCGTAGAAGGAGACATCGAGACAGCGGGAGGCTGGCAGGGAGAGGATGTGAGCCACCTGTAGAATACCGATTGAACAGAACCGTGTCTGGGTATCCACTACCTTGCCCATCTAGCGTGCTGAGTGCGATCGTTTTGGCGAGTCATAAATTCCCCGCCAAATATTCGCCAAGATATAGCTGTGCGAGGTGAAAGGTAGTGACGATCATCTCGCATTGGCAGCGTTTAATAAGCCCCGAACTCAAATTACCGACGGAGGCAGTTTAAGTAGAAAGTCTGCCAGCGTGTAATATCGCGCATGGACGCGACCGTGTCGTGTGTTAGGAAACGACCAATGACAAAAATCTTCCATGCTACAACAGGTAACGTGCATGCATACCAAAACACCCGGAGCAAGTGCGTATTTTTACTTCGTCGCACCGTCCCCTTCGCCTCTCCCCGCGTCCCGTCCGATTGTTTGTACCAACCCCGTGTGCAGCGCCCACAATCCCCAAGCGTCGCGGAATGCGCTCATGTGGAATTCCTTATGTCCAACAGCAATAAACCACGCCCAGAGGTGGAACGGGCAGTGGCACGACCTCCGTCAGAAAAGGACGGGAGCAACGGTTTTTGCGGCAACGGCGGCAGGGCGGATGTGATGCATCGACTTCGACACATTCACGTCGCACGGGGTGGGCGTATTCACGCTTCCTGGCGGGCGGTCCTCACCGTGTCGCCGCTTCAGCATGTCGACCAGGGTGCATCCTCGGCCAGGGTCCATCACGGCCGTGGGGGGGAGTTCCAAAGATCGTCGTGCAAAGGGTACTCGTGGGCGATTGTGCGAACCCGTGGAACGGCCGTTGGTGACGGGAGAGGAGGCAAGGGAGTGTCCTGTGTAGTCAAGCAAGGTGCGGTGCCAGACCGTTCGGCCCATCGCGCTCGTCATCGTAGCGGCAGCGTAAGACTGGCCGATACGGACGAAGAGGGAGACCACCACACCAGCAGCAAGGCCGATATCGTCTCGTCAGGCGATGCTTCTCCTTCGACAACGTCTCCCTGGCGTTGGGAACATTTCGAGGTGGATACCGTTGGTTGGCTTCCGGGGGACTTGCTCAGTTTGTGGATACGGCTCGATGATTCTCCACCGCCCTCCCCCCCTCGCCTTGCTACCGACGGTGGGTGGCACGGCCGGGGAGCAAAACCTGCAGTATCAAGAGAACCAGGACGAGGAGATAAATCAAGGCGTGCTTGCCCGCCTTCTCATCGTCCGCTTGTGAGAGCATTCGATTTGACGGTCATCGATGACGCGCGTGAGGAGGAGATCATACGCCGTGCCTGTTACTTCCCTCGTCACAGTCATCGCCTCGCCACCGTGGGCGAGGTGGCAACTGAATGCTTTCATGACCCGGATTTCCCCCTGGATGCGCCTTGTTCCGGCGTTGCCGCAGTGCGGCTTGATTTTGCAGCGGTTAGTCCGATGAACATCGCCGCGGCGGGTGGTTCATGGGCGTAGGGGGCGGTAAAACGAACGGCTAAAATCAGGGCGTGGCGTGTTGGGCCTTGAGCAAAGACTTCAAACCTATTGTTACGATAGGCTGACGAGGGTAATAAGCACCATTTACAAGTTGGTATTAAAAACAAGATATGGTTCGTGCCACCACTCGAAGCAATACACCGCTCTGAGTTGCTTCTTCGACCACCAATATTCCCCCAATTCATGTTCTCCACAATGTGCACTCGAGACTTTCCTCGGACCACGCCAAGGCAAGCTCACCTGCAGTCAAAGATATGGCAAGAAAGATCATCCAGATACGACAGTCTGCCCGCCTGCTTGAGAACTAATTCGGCTTCGAACAGAGAAAAACATTTCTGCCTGATGGCGCCGACTGCACGGGTACGCTTACGAAGATGACACGCCGTTACGCAACGCTCACAACCAATCACACACGGTCACAAAACAGGATTCCTGTCTCTCCCTACCTCAATAACAAGCGTCTGCCTTGCTCGCACAACACCGCTTGTCAACTTCCTACTACCCAAACTCTCCTGAACAACATCGTCCCTACCACCGTCTCCCTGAGTGGGTTGCCCTAGTCTGTCGCCATCTGTCGATTCATCTACTCCGGCATCCGCAGCCCGACAGCGGCCGTACAAGCCTGGCAAGTAGGCACGATAGGCGGGCATGTATCTGGAACAGAAATCTCGCACTTCCTCATCGGACATGCCCGGGCGCCCAGCCTCTCGCATGCGACGCTCGGCCTCGGCCCGCCATTCAAACACCATTTCAGGCTCGGCCGTCTGCTTGTTGCGAGGATGAGGTCGGGGGCGCAGAGGGAGAGTTAGATTGTTTCGAAACTTGTCGATACGCAAAAACAACCAAAATTTAAGGAGATTTGCGAGAGTTATGGCGAGGAGGAGATACACCATGCTTCAAAGGAAGTGGTGCGCATGAAACGCACAACAACGTTACTGCATACACTGGGTCGTGCGGATCGTGACAGCGCTAGTGAAATTTTGAAGTCGAGCTAGAGAATACGTCTGCAGTACTTGTACCTTGAGCACTAGCCAAGCGTCGACCTCGTCGTGCAAGCTTTGGTAGTCCTCAAGGAACGTGTTGACAGCTCCGAGGCCATCACTTGTGCCTGTTGAAGAGTGCGGGCAGTGCCACGAAAATGGCGTCGGACGATTAGGTGCGATTGGCCCAGCAAGGGTCTAACCAATCTTCTTCCGCACGGGCAGGTCTACCAACAACCACCGTGGATCACACACCGTCAAGTGCGTCGTTTCCCTGCTCTCACTCACCGCCATCTGCTTCCGCTGCCGAAAGCAGCAGGGGGCTGTCGTCCGGCAAGGCTTCGAAGCCGAGCATCCACCCCTCCAACAGCAAAACGTCCGGTGGCGTCGAAACCACGCTCCACTCCCCCTCGGGCGCGCGATCGCCCTTTCCCCCTCTCGCTGACTTGTCGTATCGGGGAACACGAACGCAGTCTTGGGCTGCCGGGTCTTCGGCTGAGGAGGGGGGCGATGGGCGGAGATCTCTGCTGTCACCGTCGCTTGTGCCGTCATCCCTCCTTGTTAATGCGCGGATCGTGCGGAGAGCCAGGGCCAGGTCGTGCGTCCCCGCGTTGCCGCGGACCTGAAGCAAGGGATTGGTCGGGAACCTCGCCGCAAGAGCGTCCTGCGTTCACCAAAGGTTTTCAGGAGCAAGCAAGAGATTTCGTCGGGGGTGGGTGGGGGGGTTGGCAAGGGGAGAGCACGCGTGACGCTTTGTGACCTGCCATGGTATTAGCCTCTGTTTCTGACGAGTCCCGAAGCCGAACACACACGGATGTTCTGTTGTGGTATCACGACCCAGTGTTACGACAGCACTACACATGCATGATGAGGTAGGCATCAACTGTACTTGATGCGCAGAAAATAGATGAAGCAGCTGCAGCAGCAGCTACTGCAGCACACCTGCTCGGTTCCCGTGAGGTAGAAGTCGTCGATCGACATAACGACGCAATGGTGGCCGGCGTTCTCAAGCATGCGCTGCATCTCGGAGACGATCGTGGTCTTCCCGCACCCTTGAGGCGCGTTGATGCCGACGACCACCGGGGGTTCCTTGTTGCTACCACTGTTGCTTCTGGCCCTAGCACGTTTCGAAACGTCGCCCCCCGAGGATCGCGGGTGCGTATTGGCCGTTGGTACACCAGCAGCAACACCCCGAGTAGATGATGATGACGACGATTTTGATGACGACGATGATGATGGAGATGCCGCAGATCCGCGGCTTTGCCGTAAGAGGAGCTCGAGCCAGAAGTACACCGGGAGGTACAAGTGGAAAACTCGGCGATGCTGCGCCTCGGTGGACGTCAGAGGATCAATACCGAGGGAAGCTGCCAGATCGGCCGCGGCGGATCGCCAGTCCTCCTGTGCATGCTCGTCGTCCGCGTCCCCCCGCCGCCGCTGCTGCTGCTGTTGGTGTTGCGCGCTGTCGTTGTGCTTTGATGTCTTCGTTGCCGACATCGGTACTTCTGTTTTGTCCATGTGCTGCTGCCGCTCTTGATACCGAGGCCCGAGAGATACGTATTCCATTAGAGACACTGGCGCAGGGGGACACTTGGTGTTATCGTACAAATTCCATATGTTGTCTGCAGATGACTCGCTTGCATTCGCTGCTGCTGCTGTTCCCATAGAAGCAGCACCACCAGCAGTAGGGGAAGCAGAGGAGGAAGAAGAAAAGCGGAAACGCGGAGATGATGGCCGTACTCGACTCCTCTGGAGGTGGCATCGAGGGGAGGTGTCCCGGGAAACCTTGCGTGCCGACAGCAGTGATGGCACATGATAAGGAGAGCTCTGCAGTAGTACTTGAATCGACTTGCGTCTTCCTCCCAGCATCATCATGCTGCTATTGTTCCGCAGTTGACTTGTAGTAGCAGGTGCCGCCGCTGTGGATGGCACGACCAAAGCACTGCAGAACGGCAACCGGTTGTAAGTGGCGAGCAAGATACCCGCTGCTCCCCGGCGACGTGCCCTCATCATACCGCAGGGGTTTGCGTCTGGTCCGTGGATGCGGGATCTACGAACTTGGCTGTGGTGAAGTACCGGGATCTACGGAACTCGGAACCGGAGATTCTTGTGGAGAAAAAAAAGCTTGCCGGTAAAATCTGTCTTGATTTTCTCTCCAACAGAAAAAAAACAGAAATATTAAAAAAATCAAGAGCCGGTGAAATTCCGCCCGCGTGGATCTGATCTCACCAAGGCTGGAGGATCGTGATGATCGTGACGAAATCCGAATCCAAAACGCTTTGTGTTCAGAACTTGTAGAACCGACTCGTTGGCGGACTTGAGGAGACACGAGATCCTTGCGGGAGAGAGAGGGGGCGGGCGGATAATTTCCAGCAGCGGTTCAGAGGGAAGGCGTTCCCTCCTTGCTGCTCGCTCGGGGAAGGAGCCTGTGCCTCCCGGGCATCGAATCGTTTCGTCAAAGCCCACGGGCGCCCCGAAAGCAAAGCTCAACGCATCATAGCCAAAAACAACAGGCGCTGAGGAGAGGGCACGCAAGAGAGAGGAAGGAGGCAAAAAGCGGGGGGGGAGCTTTGGGGCCAGGCCGGGCTTGAGGGGGTGCGAGGAGCTCTCGAGGTGTGTGGAGTGTTCGCTCTGGGGTGGGGGAGCCCCTTCGGCTTTTTGGTGTTGCCTTTTTTTGGCGAAGGATGTGTGTGTGTCTCCCAGGCAAGGTTGGTCAGGGTTCGGCACAGTAGTGGGAAGTACCAAAAAAAAAACGAGCCACATCCTCCCGCGCGGTAATTGCAAATCCACACGTCAATCTTTTCTCATACATTTTTCGCGCGGGTGCTCGGGGTGACGCACATCTTGCGCCCCGAAACGACCAGCCCGAATCCTGCTGATGATCCCCACCCCTTTCCTCTCTGGCCGTTCCTTGATCTCGCTCTCTGCTGGCGGTGTGGTGTGACAACCTCCCACATGGACGAAAATCATTTTTCTGATCTTTATGTGAGAGTGTGAACACGCGTGTAGTTGCTCCTGAGCCCACACACACATACACAAAGAAACGTGTACAAGTATGATACAACGAAATGTCCTTCTTGCACTCTCGGGGCCAGTAACAACCCCCAGATCAACCACCACACCCACCCGAAACCTGCAGCAGGTCGGGTCCGCCGCAGCTGCGAGGCTGTGCGTGACCCAGTCTGCTGGCAGATGGAGCAGCATCGCTACTCTGGCGTCCCGGACCAGAATGCACGCCCTATCCATGGCGCCCCGCAAGCAGATGGGTCCGCGACAGGATATGCCCAGCATCAACAGCAGATTTATCGGCCCATGAGAAGCCCAGATTCCCATGCAGGCGTAGCATCATCAGCCCCGACCGCTGCTCCGGCAAGCCAACAGCAGCAGCAGCAGCAGCAGCAGCAGCAGCAGCAGCAGCAGCAGCATCACGTGGCTGCGGGCTATGCGGCGGCCGGATACGCTGCAGCGGCGCAGCAGGCGGCGGCGCGGCATCAACAACAGCAGCAGCACCAACAACAACAGCAGCAGTCGGCGGGGCTAATATCTTCGCCGGAGTACCTCGCCTACCGGGCCGTGAGCAGCAGCTCGAGCGTGCCGGGTGCGACGGCCGTGCCGGCATCCTCTCCGGCAGCAGCTTCGGCGGCCACGCTGGGAGGGGGGCCAGCCGCAGCCGTGGCCAGCGGCAGCGACTCGCCGCGTGGAACCCTGGGTGTATCTTACGGTGGCGCTCCCGCTAGCATGTCAGTCGGCTTGCCTTCCGCTGTTGCGCAGCGTCTGGCAGCTCAGCAGCAGCAACAGCAGCAGCACTCATACTCAAACATGGGCTCTGTGGTGGCGGGTACTGGTGTGGGCCGTGGCATGAACGAAGGCTACGGTGGTGTGGGCCAGCAGCGACAACAGCACCAACAGCAGCAGCAGCAACAACATCTCCAGCAGCAGCAACAACATCAGCAACAGCAGCAGCAGCAGCAGCAGCAGCAGATGCCGCCACAGGTGGAGTACTACCGCACGATGGTCCAGCAGCAGCAACAACAACACCAGCAGCATCAGCAGCAGCTGAGCAACGCCGGCTTCTCTGCTGCGGCGACATACAAGCCACCGCCTCCCCGGTCAGCCTACCCGATGAACCCCGCCGCCACCGCCGCCGCCGTTGCGGCCGCCGCCGCCGCCGCCCGCGTCGTCCCGCAGCAGCAGCAGCAGCAGCAGTCGAACGCTGCGGCATCGTGGGGTCGGGGCGCTGCTCCCGCCGGCGGCGGCCACGGAAACGGCGCAGCCCACGGCGGTGCCGGCGGCGCGGCCGCCGTTAGCAAAGGCGGGGCAGGAGGCGGCGGCGGGGCTAACGAGGGCCTCCAGCAGCAGCACCAGCATCAGCCGCAGCAAGGGACCGCCGCTGTTGGTGCCGCTGCAGCTACAGCGGGGGCAGCGGCCGCGTCACCGCCGCCGCCGTCGGCCATTGGTGCCGCTGGCTCCACCGCGCCGGCAACGATGAAAACTGAACCGGCCGGCGGGCACGGGGCGGCGGCGGCGGCGGGAGCGGCGGGAGCTAGCCCGGCGCCGGCACCTGCCGACGGGGAGCGGCTGCCGCCGGTTTCCAGGGAATTTGCTGAGCAGATGTCGCCCTCCGCGCTGCAGGCCATTAAGCAGATTTCAAAGGTGAGTTTCTTTATGTGCTAAGCGCGCAATATCGTGTGTATCAAAGTTTAGAAAACGCTGGAAGTGCGGTCTTGTAGTCGTTTCTACAGCTGTTGATAAGTGCAGTGCAAGTGGGACACATTTTTTTCCCCGAAGATATCTTGGGATATATCTATTGTGCGGTCTTCTGTGTCACTGCTATATTTTTTTTTTTATCGCGAGAAAGCGTTAAGATTCTTGACCGTTTTCCCTCACCGGCCGTAAAGTGGAAGTCGGGTGCACCTGCGAAGCAATCGATCGCCACCCGATACCGCAGCAGGCATGATGTGAAAACAATTTTTACAGCGGCCAATTATTTAGCGTGACTACGCCGAGATTCGAAGTCGTCTCGGCTCATCGGGCAAGTTGAGGTTGCGGGCTTTTTCTAAGAAATACCGGGGGGAGAAACTTTTCTCAAAATTTTACCCTCGTACCCACCTCATGCAGCAGCAGAGCACGTGTGCATGTATGTGTATCTCAAGTGTATCCCTGTCCACCTGGAGTAGAGCAGCTGGAAAATCCTCGTTGATCCCAATGGATTTGTTGTCGTCGATATTCGGTCGTGGTCATTTTTACTTCTAGCTCAACATCAAAACATGTAGATCTTCGAACCCGTCGTGTATCGGCAAGACCCCCTCCCCGCCCCCTGCTGGGAGATGGATCAGATGGCAGGCGTGACATGTGGAAAACGAGGATAGGTATGGCGCGCGAATTCCGTTTGCTTGTTGTTACAAATGGTTACATACAAAAAGGCACGACCCGACCACGTCCTTGGTATGTCTCTGATCGATGTATACGTGGTCAACTGACTCGCATGGAAAGCAACGCGTGTAAGCAACCCCCCCGTCCCCCGCCGTGTTTGTCCCCGTCCCTGCCAACAGCTGCGGGATGCCCAGTACCTCTCCGGCAGGGGTCGCGACAAGCCATCCACGAGCGATGAGGAGCAAGAGCCGGTGCTACCCATGGGGCCAACGCCAGAGCTGGCGCCTGCGGCGGGGGGGTACGAGAGCTCCGACGGGGGGCACACGGGGGGCGCGGGGAGGGGGCAAGGGTGGAGGTCTGCCCACAGGGGCGGCGCGTATTCTCTCTCTCTGTAAGTGGTATTTTTTCTCGGCTCTCCTTACAGGTTTTTTGTGTTGGGGGGAGATCTATATATTTTTTTGAATTCGTTGGTTTGTTCTTGTTTGTCGGCGACTTGAAATATAGCAGCGACTGCAGTGCGGAACGATTTGAGCGAAAGGAGTCGAAAATGTAACCACGTCGCGGAACAAAGCAAAGGAAATCGACCCAAAAATGAAAGTGATGAAGTAGCCCCCTTTTATCTCAATAGTGGTGGGGGGGTGGAAAGAAGGTGGGAGCGCGCTGAGATTCAGGCCTTACTGCAAATACCACGCGTATGACACAATTATCGAGGAGAGACTTCGTGCGCAGAAAATTCCAGCTTGAGACTGCTGTGTTGTTCTTTCCAACATGGTGCTGGTGGGACGCATATCTGATCGAGTTAGCACACCTTGTGTTTTTTCAAAAAGAACGAAAAACGTGTCCTACTATTATAGGCCATAAAACTGTATTTTTTTACGTTGGATCCAGCCTGCGTACCGCCCCCGCCCCCCTTCCTCCTGTTCGCCCCCGTCTGACTGTTGCACCTTCTGCCGAAAACGTTGCGCTCACTGGTGGAACAGCAACAACAACAGTAGCAACCCGCGCTCCGCGGGCGGGGCGGGCGGCACCGGCGCCGGTGGTAGCGGAGCAGGCGGTGCCGGCGGCGGCAGCGGCGGCGGCGGCCACGGCCAAGACGCGGCGAAAGACTCGAGCCGCGCCACGCT